GTTGTCCACTAATGTATTCTAAATACCTAGAAGTGAGCCTGACAAGTAGTACATATGCATATTTGTGGAACAGTTTTATATATTTCTGTGGCATTATCTAATTAGTGGCTAAGTGATTCACTACCTAGGAACAAGGACTGGTTTTAGTTTTCTTTGTTACTGTATTTTCTAGAGCCTAGCATAGGGCTTGCCACAGACTTGAAACATTTGTTAAATGAAGAATATAATTTCTTAATCCATCAGAGGATACAAATTTAAAACATCTGACATTATCCACTGCTTGTAAGTGTGTAGGGGAAATCCACCCTCTCAAATACTGTTGAAGGTATGTAAATTGATACTGTTTTTGCAAGTAAACTAGCAATAGCTATTAAAGTTTAAACCACTCAGAGCTCTTGCCTTTTAATTCAGTATTCTTACAGAAGTAAAAGCAAGAGTACCTGAAAAAACATGTAATAGTATATCTATCCCAGCACTGCTTATAAAATAATGAAAAAAATCTATAGCAATCTACCTGTCCATCACTAGAGAAATAGGCAAATAAACTGTGCATGGTACATGCATGTGATGAAATACTCTGTAACAAGAATGAGGCAGATCTATAACACTGACCTGAAAAGCAGTCCATGATCTAGTAAATAGACCAGAGCGCCCTGACATCCAGATGACCTGGATTTGAATTCTGGCTCCCCACACTCCTAGCTATATAATTATTAACTTCTCCGGCTTCAGTTTCCTCATCAATAAAATAGGAACAATAATAATAAATAATACTTTACTGGCCACATAATCATTTACAAGAATATAATAATTCTAACATTTATGAAATAAAATAGACAAGATGCAAATCTATGTATGTAAGCCAACAATTTTCAATTGGTGAAGCATATAATTTTTAAAACATGCAATATCTTACTACTTCCCAAGAGGTACAGACCTCTTTTCTCTTTCATTGTCAAATAAATTAAAAAATGACAACAGCCAACACAACAATAGCCGTCTGGTGTGAGCGAATCAAAATTATACCAATTTTTATGGTCAGATTGGCAAAAAAACATATTTTGTGGTGTGCCATAGAATTTTAGTGATTAGTTTATATGTGCCAGGAGATGAAAAAGGTAAAAAATTGTTGGTGTAAACCATGTCCATTTCAGGGCAGAAGGAAAAGGTAGAATGTCTGTGTAACTACAGGAAAAAAAAGTCCAGAAGAAACAAAAACTTAATAGTTGTTACCTCTGAGAGATGACATTTTTTTAAAAAGTTTTTTTTAAGGTTTTTTTTTTTAAATATATTTTTTATTGATTTCTTACAGAGAGGAAGGGAGAGAGATAAGAGATTTAGAAACAACAATGAAAGAGAAACATCAATTAGCTGCCTCCTGCACACCCTCTACTAGGAATGTGCCCGCAACCAAGGTACATGCCCTTGACCAAAATCGAACCTGGGACCTTTCATTCTGCAGGCTGACGCGCTATCCATTGAGCAAAATCGGTTTCAGCGGAAGACATACTTCTTATACGTGATTTTTAGAAGATAGTGTTTTTAAATAAAAAAGAAATAAAGTAAAATCCAACCAAAGGTTTCTAAGATATAATTTAACTTAGATTTTAAAATATAAAAATTTGAAGACAGTAACATTATATATAAACTTTAAATACTCAAAGTAAAATGGAAATAATCTGCTACAATTTGTTTAGCCATTAAAATTACCTTTATTCTAAATGTATAAAGCAAGATGCTACATCAAAAAAGAACAAAACTTGTCCTACCTAGTTTGGATCAGTGGATAGAGCATCAATCATCCTGCAGACTGAAGGGTCCTAGGTTTGATTCCAGTCAAAGGCACATACCCTTGTTGCTGGCCTGATCCCCAGTAGGGAATGTGCAGGAGGCAGCCAATAAATGATGTTTCTATCTCTCTCTCCCTTTCCCTTCCTCTCTCTAAAAATCAATAAAAACATATTTTTATATATTTATTGATTTTTTTACAGAGAGGAAGGGAGAGAGATAGAGGGCTAGAATAGAGAGCTAGAAACATCGATGAGAGAGAAACATTGACCAGCTGCCTCTTGCACACCCCCTACTGGGGATGTGCCCGAAACCCTGGTACAAGCCCTTGACCGGAATCTAACCTGGGACCTTTCAGTCCGCAGACAGACGCTCTATCACTGAGCCAAACCGGCTTCGGCAATAAAAACATATTTTTAAAGTTTACAAAATAAGAAATCAAAGTTAAGAAAAAGAAAATTATTACATTTCATTCTATCAATTACACACTAATCGATTATTTTTTGTTGCTGTTAGTACTCACCAGAGGATTTTTCCCCATTAAGTTTTAGAGAGTGGGAGGGAGGGGACGAAAGGAGGGAGGAGAGAGAAAAAGGAAGAGAGGAAAAGAAGAAGGGAGGGAGGGCGGGAGGGAGGAACATCAATGTAATGTGTAGTGATTAGGGCTCAGGATCAAACCTGCAACCCAGGAACGTGCCCTACACCAGGAATTGAACACGCTACCCTTCAGTTGGAGGGCTGAGCCACACCAACCAGGGCTGGATTCTTGTTAGTCTACCACATCTCCATAAAAACAAAGATATCCCCCCAAAAAATATTTAAGGCAAGAGAGATGGATGACAAAGGGGAAGGAATTAAAATGTACAAATTGCCAGTATAAACAGACACAGGAATATAGAGTACAGCATAGAGAAAATAGTCAATAATATTGTAACAACTATGTACGTGTCACATGGCTACTAGACTTATCAGGATGATTACTTTTTAAGTTATATAAATGTCTAATCACTATGTAGTACTCCTGAAACTAATACTCTATGTCAACTGTAATTGACTAATTTAAAAAATAAAACAATAACATAAAACTGCTTCTAAAATGGGATCAAAGCAAAATTTAAAAACTAAGCAGTTATCTTTTACCATCAGTTTGACTAAAAGAATTCTGTATTTTTTTTTAATCAGTGGGCTATGTAATTCTAGTGTGCTTAAAGCTAAAGTGTCAAGAAGTAATCTATATTAAGTCAAATCCCCAAAAACAATTTCTAAGGAGATACAGACACAAAGCACTCAAATATACCAAATTCTATCTCCTTTTGTACACAGTAGCTGTGGCTGCTCATTTATTACACTAATTGAATATAAATACTGCAATCTACGCAAACTAAATCTCATCGAGTCGGAGGATTTGAAAAAATAGGGAACCTTGCACTAAGAATAGCAAGGATCCAAGATTTCCTAAAGTGAATTTTCCTAGCCTATTTCAAGTGCTTAGTCACGTCTGCCTATTAACAAGGAAGACCATTTCACATCTTGAAAGAGGCAGGGAATTTTGATTCCAGACTGTCATGTCACCTGAGCTGTCCTAGAGTTTGTTTCCATGCAACTCAAGAGATGGCAGCAACCAAAGCATACCTACCACTCCAGATCAGAACCAGAAGACTGGAGCTCTCTGTGTTCTGCCTCTGTCTGCAGTAACAAAGAGGGGTTTGTGGAAAATGCAGTTTTCTTCCCTGACACCAAATGCAAAAGGTGAGAATTAAAATGCAGCTTGAAGACACGTGTTTCTGCTCTCTGACAGAGAAACAGAAACGCCTCCCTTCTCTTCTGCTGAAAGGAAAACAGCAGGCAGAGACCCTTACACAACCACAGATGAGGGTACTGACATCTCTCTTCAGGCAACTAACAAAACCTAAAACTAGAGGCTAACAGGTTTGAAAGCCTACTTCCAAGAAAGCAGCTAGCCTTTAAATTTGATAACATTATAACATTGTTTCAGGTTCCCCAAAAGCAAGCAGAGGAAGGTCTTCAGAACAACAAAGTTATTTTAAGGACGAGGCAAAGGCAAGTTTTAAGTGGCTACTATGTGCCCAGCACCATATCCCAACATTTCACTCACATTTAAAGAGGCTTAGTACAAAAAAAAAAAAAAATGTTTTTAAAGCAACAGCAACTTAGTACACACGCTGATTATAGAAGAACACCTACCTAGCTGAAAGAACTTTCTCAACCACTTACAGTAGGACCCTGTCAAAGACAAAGCACATTCTTTGCAAGCATAACTCCAGGTAATAAAAACGTGAAAGGATGTGGTCAATCTCTAAAGCAGAGCTTAATCCAACTTCCCAGGAGGTCATGAAGGCTCTGACAACTTAAATTATTTAAGGATGGGAGTCTTTTTCCTTCCAAGAACATAAGGCTATATAAAAACACGTCTCCTCCACTTCAGCATTCTCAAACACCGTTCTCCTCAATACCCCATAATAATAATGCTAATCGCTTTATAAACGTGCGTGTTGCCATCCTTAGAGATAAGATATGAAGGCTTGAATGAACCTCTTTTCACTAAGCGAAAATACTCAAGTTCAAAGAAACTGAGAATTCCGCCCAGAACTTGTTAGTGAAGGACCCAGGTCCTGTAGACTCCAGCACTTCCCTGGCTCTCAAGGAACGATACCAAATCCAGTTACTGATCCCAGCTGGTTTTATCTCAAAACTGGGTGCCCAGCCGGCTCGGTGAGCAGAGATTGGGGGAGGGAGGAGGGCACACCACCACTTATCTAAGATTTTTTTTTTTTCTTTAACGAATACAGCAAGTTCCCGATTTCCATCCTCCCCAGGGGAAGGACCCACGTGCGGGTCCCAGGGCTGTCCCACGACAGCTCCCTCCGCACGCTCCCCAGCTTCGGCCCGGTCCCCGCAGCCGCCCCACGCCCTTCCCTCCGCCTTCCGCCGGCGCGGCCGCCGCGGGCGCCTCCCGCCCCCTCCCCAGCCGCGGCCGCCCCGGCCCCCCCCCCCCCCCCCCCCGGCCTCCCGGTCCCCCGCGCCGCCTTCGCGCGCAGCCCGCGCCCGAACCCGCGCGCCGCCGCCTCTGCCCTGCGGGGTCAAACCCCTCCCCCCGCCCCCCAGGCCTGCGCGCACCCTTCCCGCCGCCCGGAGGTTCCACCGCGACACCGGCTCCCGGCAGGCCGCGCCTGCCATGGTGGGCGCCTCACCGTCAGGTTGAGAAGCCGGGCCCGGCTGCGCCATGGCCAGGCGGCGGGCCTCGGGGAGGGGATGGGCGGGGAAGCGGCGTCCCGGGCTCCCGCGGGCTCAGCTGGCGGAGGAGGCGTCGACCGAGCCGCCGCCGCCGCCGCCCAGGGAGGAACCGCTAAGGCTGAAGCCGCCGGCGCCGCCACAGCCGCGGGCAGAGACGGACCGGAGCGCCGACCTCCGCCTCCTCATCCTGACAGCGGGAAATAAGCGGTGCGCAGGCGCGGGGGGAGGGGGCGGCACGTGACGTCGCCCTGGGGGCGGGGCTTCGCGGACGGGAGCCGGTGGGTGGGGCAGCTCGGGACTCAGTCGGGCCGGCTGCGGGCGCGCGGGAGCAGGCGGGCTGGGGCCGGAGAGGGAGGCGGGAGGGTGGGAAGGGGGAGACGTCGCGGGGAAGGCCCCGTAGTTTAGAGGGGCCGCTTTCAGTCCTCCGCCCCAGAACAGAGGCAAAGAAAAAAAATAATAATAATGAAAAGAAGGCCGGCCAAAACCGGTTTGGCTCAGTGGATAGAGCGTCGGTCTGCGGACTGAAGGGTCCTGGGTTCGATTCCTGTCAAGGGCATGTGCCTTGGTTGCAGGCACATCCCAGGTGGGGAGCGTGCAGGAGGCAGCTGACCGATGTTTCTCTCTCACCGATGTTTGTAGCTCTCTATCCCTTTCCCTTCCTTCTCTGTAAAAAATCAATAAAATATCTTTTTAAGCAAAAAGGAGGACGACAGAGGAGGCCGGATGGTGAAGTGAATGCAAGTCCAGCCTCTGTTCTAACTGTGTGGCCTTGGGCGAGTCACTTAACCTCTTTGGGCCCCACAGTCTTCCTGTGGCTAAGAAGAGTTTCAAGGAGCTAAAATGTGAGGGCGTTGCTGACTGACTTTCCTTTATGCACCTTTGTATGATGTAATTTCGGTGCCGGGCCCTGTGGTGAGTGCCGGGGGTGCAGCCAGACACAGTCACCAGGATCAGGAAAGCAGAGGAGCCCTGATGCAGGCCTATGCTCAACAGGTGCAGATACAAGTGCTCCAGGCTCAGAATCAGAAGACCTAGAAACTCTGACACAGATTAGCTGTTGACTCAGAGCACATTTTTTAACTTCTTTGAGCACCTGTTTACCTCTAAAATGGGGATAATAGGCCAGCCTCCTGGCACAGCAGGAGGACTAAAGGAATAAAGAGCCCAGCCCCTAACACACAGTAGTAATTGCTTTATAAATGTCTGCTTCTTCCTCACCTTCTCTTCTTTCCATGCTTTTTTCCTAGATCGGAAGTCTCCATCATAAGGAAGAAGTATTCCTGCACAGTAGAAGTCAGTCTGTGAAGCTATTCCTAGAAAAATTCCCACTATTCCCAAAGCCTAACAGAACTGCCCATTTACACTAGATAAGGTCCCAAGACTAAAATGTCAAGTTTCTTTGTTTTGGAAGAATTTTTATCGAGTTGCTTATCTCATGCCGATTAGAAGTTCTTATTCCAGTTCTGTATTAGCTGTTGATTAATAAAACAAAGAGGATCTTAGATATATAGTTTGCTAGACAGACAAGCATCTTTATAAGTGGTGAGTGCCCCCTTCTCTCAAAATCCCCCTTTTGTATACTATCAACCACACAGTGGAATAACTGCCTGTAAATAAAAATCACTGTGTATGACAAAATCGGTTTGGCTCAGTGGATAGAGCATAGGCCTGAAGACTGAGGGGTCCCAGGTTCAATTCTGGTCAAGGGCATGTACCTTGGTTGCGGGCACATCCCCAGTAGGGGGTGTGCAAGAGGCAGCTGATTGATGTTTCTCTCTCATTGATGTTTCTAGCTTTCTATCCCTCTCTCTTCCTCTCTGTAAAAACTCAATAAATATATATATATATATATATATATATATATATATATATATATATATTTAAATCACTGTGTATTTACTAGTATATGCCATGTGTCAGACACTGGACAAAGTGTTTTACTCTTGTATTGATTTGTTTAATCCTCTGAAGAACCTTATGATGGGGATATGGTAGGAGGGGGGACTATTATCAATCCATTTCTTAGATCTGACCAGAGAGGTTAAATAACTCATCCAAGGTCACAGAGCTAGTGAGTGATAGCAATGGAATCACACCCAGACTGTCTGGGTTCAGTGTCCATATGTGTAACTCTCAGGCACATTTGTTGGCAATTAGCTGTGTGTCTGTTTCTTCCACTGGGGAAAGACGTCAATTCCCAGAACATAGAGACAAACCGTCATTTATTTCTAAGGTATGTCTAGTGCCTACATAACAGGTGCTCAATAAGTAGTTACTGAATGAATGAATTGCTGGATGAACAAATGAATATCACTAGGAGTATATAGAGCAAATAATAAGGAATCCTTGGTAGTGATAAGATCTACAGTCTGCAGATTAAATCTGTGTGATTCAATTCTACTTGATCATCATCCAACTGCCTTTCACTTCTCATTGGATTAGAGACCATAGTTTTAACCATTACTGCTATTAACCCCCAGCAACCAAGGTACATGCCGTTGATTGGAACTGAACTTGGGATCCTTCAGTCAGCAGGCCGACGCTCTATCCACTGAGACAAACTGGTTTCGGCTCTACTTTATTCTTTTCAACTCCTACATGGTTTTCCACTTGGGTAAATGGTTAGGTTAATTACAAATTTTCATGATTTACAAACAAAGTGTCAAGGCATGTGCATACTCCTTTAGGCATTTATATGAGTAGTTTCCCAGGAGACTTACCTACACATTTGGAATTACTTGATCAAAGATCATGATGTAAAAAAAAAAAAAAAAAAGATCATGCTGAAACCGGTTTGGCTCAGTGGATAGAGCGTCTGCCTGCGAACTGAAAGGTCCGGGGTTGGATTCCGGTCAAGAGCATGTACTTGGTTGCAGGCACATTCCCAGTAGGGGGTGTGTAAGAGACAGCTGATCGATGATTCTCTCTCATCGATGTTTCTGACTATCCCTCTCTCTTCCTCTCTATAAAAAAATCAATAAAATAAAATAAAATAAAAAATAAATTTAAAAAAGATCATGATGTATTTCTATGTTCATTGCAACATTATTTACAATAACCAAATTAGTAAAGGTTTTTTCCTTTTTATAGCCAATTAGGAGGTGCTGCTATAGTCAGGGAGATAAATGATGGTTACTTGGTCCAGGGTTATACCAGCAAAGATACAAAAAAATGGTCTGGTGTTTGGGTTATAATTTTTTGAGATGAGCATTTGCTGAGGGGAAAAATAAAAGAGTTCTGTTTTTGGCACAGCAGATCTAAGAGCCTATTAGGTATATAAGTGAAAGTGTCAAGCAGATAATTGGATATACAAATTTGGAGCTCAGATATTGGCATGAGGTTTAGGAGTCACAAATGTAGATGATACTTACAGTCGACATTTAGAATATATGAAGAACTCTGTAAAAATCTAGAGAAACAAGAACAAAAACCTGATTGAAAAATGGGCAAAGGACATGGAAGCTCATTTTAAAAGGCATCAAAAGTTCTTTAAACATATCAAAAGATTCTCAACCTCACTCAAAATAGAATTCAAATTCAAACTACACTGAGATATTGTTTCTCACCTATTGACAAAAATCCAAACGGTTGACAACCTACTGTATTAGTGAGGCTGTGAGGAAAATAAGTGCTTCCTTATATTACTGTTGGAAGCACAAGATAGAGCAAATACTGTGGAGGGAAATTTTGTAATATTTAATAAAATTATATATTCATGTACAGTAATCTCTTTTATGGGAGTTAAACTTGAGGATATATCTGCAAAAAATGAAACAACAAATGCACAAGGTTATTAACTGTGGCATTTTTAAAAATTTAATTTGATTGTTGACAGTATTACAGATGTCTCCCAACTGTAGCATTATTTTTTTTCACATCTCACCCTTTTTTATTAATTAAAATAAAATTTAAACATCAATAATAGGGCTCTAAAATTAAAAACAATTGCAAACATTGCCAATGCAAAAGCTAAACCACATACATGTTATTTTCAAAACTTGAATGTTAAGAGCAAAACTCTGGCTATTAAATAACAACAATGCCAATGCAAAACAACAAAATGAGAAATCAGAATTATGGACATATTAATATTTTTAGCTACTATTTTAGCTAATAATCTAATCTAGTAAGCTAACTAGACCTATATTATAAGAAAAAAACTTTTATAAAAATAATATTTCAGAGACTAAGAGAAATTTGAATATGTACTATGTATTAGAGTATATTAATGTGTTGTTCATTTTCTTAGATTACTAATGAAATCTTTATTCCAATTTTGGGAGATACATGCTAAGATATTTAAAGGAGAAGTGTCATGTTGATTGAAACTTGCTTCCAAATGATTCAACAAAAAATTAAGTTTGTAGGGATCTGTGAGAGATGAGGTGGAGAGATATGGCACATAAATGTTGGCTAAATTTACCAATTGATACATTTCATGGAAGAATTTTTTCAGAATAAGTAGTTGAGGGGAGCCAAAACCGGTTTGGCTCAGTGGATAGAACATCGGCCTGCAGACTGAAAAGTCCCAGGTTCGATTCCGGTCAAGGGCATGTACCTTGGTTGCGAGCACATCCCTGGTAGGGGGTGTGCAAGAGGCAGCTGGTCGATGATTCTCTCTCATCGATGTTTCTAACTCTCTATTCCTCTCTTTTCCTTTTTGTAAAATATCAATAAAATATTTTTTTAATTATTTAAAAAAAAGTTGTGGGGAAATATGATAAAATTCATGGAGAAAAATATTAGGACAGCCTAGAAATCACTGAGGGAAAGAAAATAGATAAAGAACAGAAGACTATTAATGACAGAGTCCTGAGGAAGCACAAGAGGTTGATAAGGAGGAGAAAAATCAGGAGAAAGCTCAAGAAAAAACAACAACAACAAAACTGTTTCATAAAGGACAGAGTGTTCAACACTGAGAAGTTCAATAACAGACCAACAGAAAATCAAACAAACAAACATTGGCTTTGGCAAGAAGTAGCACATGGGCC